ACTTGATTCTATAAATCAAAATTGATACATCTTAATCAATGATAATTTGCTTTAACTTAAACTTGTATATCTTCTGTTATTATATGACTTGGATAGTACGCGCGTTCTGATTGGCTCACGCGAGGGCGATATTTTGCCATCTCCGACCGATTACCATGACAACGGTCCGAAAGTCATATTCCCGAGCGCCCGTTTGTTGACATTTTTCAAGGCGCGAGATTTGATTTATTTGAACTGAATTTGAGAATAACTATACGAGAAGCAAGCAAAGAAAAATTAAGAATGACGAGGAAGAATATTTTTCAAGCGAATTTTATTATTCTGACGAATTTGAGTTGAGGAAGACATGCATGAAAACGCCACATCCGAAGCGAAGTTCAAACTCCGAGCCAAGGAGTTGTTGTTTTGACAGTTGTTTGTAGAAAAGTAGAAGGCGAAATCACAATACGAAAAACAAGGTCTAATATAAACATTCTWGTAGTAAAGCGAAGGCGGTTGTACAGAGCGGAAAAGGCAACAAAACACAAGTGACGAAATCTCTAAGCGATGAAGACGAGAAGGTGCTTCGTGACTACTAATAAAACCCAGGTTAGAAATTCGCAGCATCACTTAATAATGTAACTTCAAGATTTCCAAAGGTCCAGTAACGGTTCAACAAGGGAAAAGGCGTCGAAATGCTATCGCTGAAAGCGACGATAAAGATTGAAAACGATTTTACTGTAGATAAAGTAGATAAAGCTTACTGACTTGTTTGTTTTCGTTGTGCTTTGACTTGATGAAAGACCCACGATTGTTGTTTTTCCACGAAATAAGTATCTTTCGAGACATTTAAATGATTGTTCTTCTGTGACATTGATGGCAATTCATTTTAGAATTGTTTTTATAACAGAAATATTTGTTTTCTGGTGTAAAAAAACACACATTTTTGACAATTTGATTCCACGTGCTTTGCTTGCTTCAGTTGGACCAATCGATAGTCCAATCGATATTCGCGCGCTGTTTACAGTTTGCTTTTCCGAAGTAGAAAAAAGTCATATAATAAAAGTGTTATTAGCCTCGTTTGCTCGGTCTGTACGGAAAAATATCGTACCTCGGTCTCTAATGTACGGACCTCGGCCTACGGCCTCGGTCCGTACTGTCGAGACCTCGGTCCGATATTTTTCTGTACAGACCTCGCGCTCGGTTAATAACCCTTTAATATTATGATAATATAAAACTCGATCAGGCACATGCACGTAGCTAGTTCAAAGAGTATAAATCGTCTCTTCATCGGGTAGGTCGAGTGGTCTTCAGAAGACATCTACTTAGAATTTGTTCGATGATCTGAGAATTCCATGTCTTAATATCGAATGTGTTAGCCCACAACAATGCTGAAAGACTTATAAATACACACTGTCTTCCTCTAGAAATATCGCTAAAGCGATTATTACTGTGATGAATATAACCTCCTCTTCAAACATTTCATCGTAATGAGAGCGAAGTTCGCTCTGAAATGTTGACCACTGATAAAGAGATTTGCTGGCTCATAAATACGGACATCGCCTCAAACTCCAAAATATCGACTTTGAAATGAATATTATCGTGCGACACAGGGATCCCATTTTTGTTTGAAATAGTGTGCTGCTCGCTCGCTGCGCTCGCTCGCATCGATTACTGTATTTCAATATTGGTTAAAATTTTTTGTGTTTGAAGAGCCAAAAGAATAATTTTCGCTCTGTTCATTCAGATGTGACCAGTTTGGCTAAAACAACTTATAGTTAAACAAAAGATTGTGTACGGTCACCGCTCGGAAAAAAGTGCACAAAAACTCAAAAAACAAACGTCTTAGGCTTCCTAACCATTTTCCTCTACAACTATGTCAGTAAGGTGGCTTCCTACAGTTGTTATTCGACCATACCTCTCATTTTTACCTCCTCAACATGTGAGGAGTGTTGTGTGCTAAAATAAATAATGTAGAGGTAGTGAGTGTGAGTGTGAGGGCCACAAGTTCATCAGTTCTTTACTGTCACGTGTTACCCTCGTAAAATAAAGTCGATTTATTTATTTATTTATTTATTTATTCATTCATTCATTCATTCACTCATTCATTCATTCATTCA